ATTTGCAGAAGAATGGAGAAGGAAATGGCTGCTCTAAAAGCTGACTGGGGTCAGTAAATATCCTTGCTCGGGGGTTCGTATTTGATTGAGCTAAAGGAATTTTGCATTATTTACCTCACTGTTTCACATTATGATATGTTTTTAGTTAAAGCCTGTTAATGGTCTATTTCAAGCGCCGTTGAGCCCATGAAAAGGGTGTTTGTAGTTGCCTCACCTCACCTAACCTCACCTCATCTCACCAATCAAAAAATTCATGCCAAACTGCAGTGGAGGAGGACGGAGGGAGGAAGGGAGGCGCTGCTGTGGTGATCGAGCAGCATTGTTTCAAACTGAACGAACGGATTCACAGTCATGAATGACTTGGAATGCTACCACCACGTGAAGGTGGCAGAGTCGAGTCCGAGGACTCTTCATCTTACTTGGTCGAACCTGACAGAGCATCACACTTTCTTCCACATGGCTCCCTTTTGATCTGGCAAATGTTTGATGGCGATTTTGCTTTATCACAGCAATTGTAATTTTACCTGCAACAAAAGAGCAGTCAAATTTATTACAAGCCCTGGAAGGCACCATCTTGGGCATATAGGCCCAGCGTGAGGACATAAACCTTCTGTGTCTTCGTCACCAGAGCAAGTAGGGGATTTGGGCACTGACCGCTTTAGTGTGGCGGGCTCGGAGTTCTGCACCCTCCTTCTACAGCCGAAACTGCTGAATGTATTGCTGGAATTCTGGATGTTGCTGTTGTCTCTGCTCACACCCGGCTACTCGACGTTCTTTGGTTCTGTCAAGTGGTCACTCTCGAGTGCAAGCGGAAGCCAAGAAACACTTTTCCTGATCCAACGTTCGGAAGCAAGTGTTTCAATGGTTAGGTTTATTTCAAAATAAGTAAATTGTAAGGCAATACCTTTATCAGCACGGCTTAGTCTAAGAAGTTGAACTTTGCCATTAAATTAAGTGACTTGGTGAAAGGGATTAGGAACTGGAGTACCCATTAAAAATTTAGCTTTCGCTCTATTACCACAAATGGGATAAAACGTTTAATATCACTACTAAACATTCTTAAGGTAAAAAATTGCTTTAACTTCAAGATGAGAGTATGTGAGAAATTCATTGTATTAACAGTGGAGATGTCTTTCAGTTGAAGTGGCCGTGGAGACGAGAGCACTTTTAATGATTGAAAGGCATTATCTGGAAGAATAGATCAGTAGAACCCAAGAAAGACAAGCTTTGTTTAAAGTTAAGTCCCCGAAACTAAAAGGCCATTATTTTTATTACTGCAGTGTTTAAAACTGATGAAGAGCTTGTGTCGCACTCTGTTGAAGCTGCGGCGATCCCGTTCCAGGCACCATTGGAGGCTGAACGACTTGTTGGAGGTAGTTAGTGTCTCACCTTATTAGATACCTTATCGGTGATTTATTCTAAACCAGTCAGCTACATGGGCAAGTGCTGCCTTTTTTTGGAATAAAGCAACGGTGAAGGCGGTGTCAACTTGCTCACATTCAGCCGCGAAGGCAAAATGTGGTATGATTGGCAAAGTTTAATTAGCAAAAGGTTAACCAACTGGAGTGGTATTAAAAAAAGGTTTAAATTAAGCAGTTTATATGTACATATTTTAGATTGAGGTAGACATTTTAATGATGGTGGTCTTAATACACACCATGGACCAGACGTTAGACTGGATCACTGAGACGGGAAGGCACTAGCAACAAAGCATTGTCTGCTCGTTGCCTAGCTTAACATCTATGAGTTAAGATGAAGGAATATTCTTATGGGAAATAAATGATTTGTCCAACTTCAGATATTACCATCACTTTGATAATTGATACTCATTAAATGATAGCTTGGGGGCAACCTCACAGAGCATCTTAAACCTTTTTGGCGGAAAGAAACTATTGCACAGACATTAAAAGCATTATAAACGGTAAAGTCGTATCTGAAAATTCTCTTAATACCAGAGAGAACTACAAATTATTTCAGGTTTTAAACTTTGTTTTATTTCAGTACTCTTCCCCAGTGAAGGATTTTCGGACGCTGTTTTCCTGTATCAAACGGGTCCAGTTTAAATCAAATGGGTAAACCTCAATCGAAATTTTAAGTTCAAAAAAATGCATAAAACGATCGATTTAGTAAGTTATAAAGCCAAAGTGAGCTTTTGGAGGGAGCTTAGATAGTGAAATAGTGACATGGAATCTGAAGACTGAATAGCAATTTGGCAGACCTATTTGAAAAGTAGAACGGAGGCTGCTTCAGTATCCCTCAGTTAAACCAAAAACTGGGATAAATTACTTTAGGACTGATAAAATGTGCAAATGTTCCACCCCAAATATTCATGTTACCCGTCAGAATATCAGTGAAAATATTCTTTTGCGCTAACACTCATTATAAATGAGCAGATTTGCGCACTTTTGAAAGCTATGCTACTTACAAATTATAAGTAAAAGATGAGTGGTCGACGAGTGGTAGGTAAGTGACGGGCAGCGTTACATCAGCTCAGAGGGCATCAAGAACGATGTTGAATGTAGACGAAACAAAAGAATTTGTTATTAAAGCTTTTATGAATCAGTATTCCACCTATTAACATCTCAAATCAGCGACTGCTTTAATACATTCCGACAATTACAAGGCAAAATAATATCTAAAAGCACCTAGTGGCAGAGCACCTTCAAGCAAATCTCAATGCAAACTTATATTTATTTAATCAAAAGCCTAATTTAGAGCTATAAATTAGTAAATTAAGTATTTTTAACACTAAACTCAACTCGCACTTCCTCACTAAATTTTAACGCCTTTGCCAGGATATACTAAAACAGCGCTCGGAAATCCTTCACTGAGGAGAGTGGAAGTAAAAGAAGATATTACTTTGAAAATGAATTGCAGATTTTATACCACTTCGGGTAAATCGAGGTATGCATTTATTATACGTGAGGCTTTTGACCTCTGCGAATTGATTCCCCTCTGCAGCCATTTTACGATGCTGTGTTCCTTACAAATCACCGTATTTTGTGGGTATTTGTAAGCTTATCCCATCCCTGGCAGCTGGAAAGAAGACCATCCGTTTTTTTTAATGGTGATGCAACAATTATCCTTTTTTCTTATGGAATTATATGAAATGCAATTGCCCGTAAATTTCGCTACTGGAAATGAAAATGCTCCCAAAATTTTGGGTTTCACAATCAACAAATCAACATTGTGCATAAATAATGACTTTTAAGAATTCCTACGAAAATTTATTTAAACGCACCTTCTAGTGGGCGAGCATAATTTGTGGACAGTTGCATTGCACCGAAAATCTGGCTCAACGGCTAAATAAAACGCAAATGGACAACTTCGAACGATGTAAAGTGTTTTATTTTGCTGCGATTTTTAAAAGACAACTTAACTCTTATTCACAAGCAGTGCCATCAATCCAAAGGTAGCAACCTTTTTTTAAAAGTCAATAAAGTAAAAATCGCACTTCCCTACTTCTTCACAATTGGATGGTGTTGCCACCTATTTACAAATCAGAAGTCGCCCTTTTGGTTGTCAGCCCTGTAGGCCAGATTCGTCCCAATCACAGTTTGACATGAGGCGTTAATGGAATGCTCCCCCAACTGAGTAGCCGCACAAAAAAGCTCACCTCTGAACCTCATGAGAGACTTCAACTTTCTTGAGGAATAACCAAAGCTTGTTAGGTGCACAAGACCCATTGAGTTGGTATATCAATCTACTGCTGTCAAGACAGTGGCTACAGTGCCTCAAAATGATGTTGAATTTGAAGTTGTAAGGAAGAGGATTTTAGCTTCCTTGGGACATGAGGTAATGCCGAAGAGGTGTGGTGAGTGTGGAGGCATGGCCATGGAGAAAGTCAAAGACAGCATTTTGAACATGGTGGAGCCTGTTCGGGGGTAGCGACCCCATGTGTTGGGTTGTGTGGAGACTTTGGGTCTCCCTTACTCCCCCTTCTTAATGAGGTTCGCGTGATTCCAATTGGGTTGCTTTTCCAACAGCCACGCAACCATATGCCTTGCCGTTCCTTGGAAGGCAACTGGAACGCTAAAATAAATCTAAAAAAATTATTTATCGCTGTTTGGATTAGTGCTGCGTACTTTTAAGGCATAAGTGCAATCTGCCTCACACACCCAATGACCCTGCATCAGGGGTTGAAGAGGGCAGGAACTCTAATTGGCTACCATCAATGATGACAGCCTGCTACCATTGCTTCTCCACAAACTTCGCTCTCTTTGGTCCTCTTACCCTTTTTTAAACCTTCACGACTAGTCATCTCTACTCCATTTTCCGTGTCCTTCCACGTTTTTGATTAATAACCCTATCAACACCGTTTTTCTTTCCTGGGTCAGACACATCACCAAATATACATTTAAGCATAAATAAATAACACCCATTATAATTCGAAGTCACCTTCAGATTACTCAGAAGTTAGTTTCTGTTCCACAGACAAGGAGAATGAGGATAAGGTGATCGTGTAACCCAGAGATAAGTCTTTATCGCCTCAATGAGAGCCGTATCTCTCGTGGATTCCGCATTTTCTTGTTATACGAACCACATTAGGGAGTACTGCCATGAATCGCATAAGATGGCGTAGTTAAGGGTGTCCCAATCCTTCTTCGATTCTTTGTCTCTACTTCGATGCTTTTTTGCTGCAACTAAACCATTTTTCTGAGGTTAGTTTTGGTACCTTACTATGTGAAGACCCAAAAGACCTTTGGATTTCCCGAAACATCTGTCAATGCATTCCCTCATTCCCACTTCTGTTGTAACAAAGCCCTAGCTGAAAGGGTCACACGATAGAGAGCTGCATAAGCATTGGTAAGGACATAATGATGAAAAGCTGTCTGAAAGAGAGCCAACAACCGATTGGCTAAAAGAACCTAGAAAACTGCCTAGGCAACGACCTAATCAGGGACAGGTTCGAGAAAAAAGTGGTAGTTGAGCAGTATCAAATTAATACATCATTGCCGTGGAGCATAAGCCAATACAAGTGAATACGATGTCATGCAAGTAGCAAGGGAAGTTATGCTTGACCCTTTATTATTATTAGCATAAGTTTTCCTCATTGGATAAAAATAACTGCAAAACTATGCTCCAACTAAGCCAGTGATGAATAAACAGCTTTTCACCGCAATCTGGGAGGGTAGAAGGCCTACCAAAGGCACGCATCAATTCCCATCAGCACCTTAGACATCCATTTATATCCGCAAAAGCGAGAAATGCGAATGAAGCATCACAAAGACGATACAAGAAGTTTGAAAGGGTTACGGAGAAGGTGAAGTCGAGTGATGACGGCTTTTAAATCTAGTGAAGCACTTGTCGCGCACAAAAATAGAAGGAACCGTAGTTAAGAATGAGCTTGTTGCTGTCATGTTTTGGTGTGAAATAAAGGAGGCGGCAAGTTTGTCACCTCTTGTAAGTCCATTGCAGAGCTAATGACTTTGGCGGTCATGCAGTCAGTGAAGAGGGAACGAAGCTTCCCCCCAATGGTTACTCATGGATGGCATAAAGTGGTCATTAATTACATGGCAAATAAAGGCATAATGACGCAAATGAGTTCGCCTTTTTAGACGCTTAATTCGCCGCTAAGTCCACTCAACAAAGACCTAACTTCTGCCTTGTCGTAAGTTAAACGCCCATCTGAATTTGGAGTTGATCAACAGAGGCTGAAATCACATCAGCGGTTAATCCTAAGCGGAGTATCTTTACAACAGACAGATTTCGAAATGCCTCCTATCAAAGGCAGATTTTTTGGCTTTGAAGTAAAGCCGCATAAATTTTTCTTAGAAAAATCAAGAGGAATTTTCGCCTTGCCTGCCTCCTCAAACGCACCGAATCCATCCAGCCAGTTGTTTTAAAGTAGACTACTCAATAAAATATTCGAAGGGAAATGCGTTCTTACTGTCGCGGGTTTTGAGACGGATTGAATAAAACCACTAAAATTAAGT